CCGGCGCTGCCGGGCGGGCTGCGGGCGGGCCGGGGCCGAGCCGCGCGATGACGGGCTCCGCAGCCCTGCCCCCGCCGCTGCGCGGCCGCCCGGCCCGGCGGGAGGCGGGGGGATTTCCAAGCGCCGGCGGCTCGCCGCTTCCTCTCCTTGTTTTGCTTTCGATCTGGACCTTTCGCAGCCGAGGCGGAGGGAGTAACTTTTAGTTTTGCTCCCGCGATTATTCAGCGCCTGTTTTCATTTCCATTTCGCGTCCCCTGGCAACGGCGGTAACCTTGAGGAATTATATAAGTGCCGCGAAGACGCGCTGGAAAGGTAAAAAGCGCCGATAGCGTTATTTATTTATTTTTCGTCGTATTTGGTTTTTTTGTTTGTTTTGTTTTGTTTCTCCCCTGAGATCGCCGCGGCGAGGTGCGGCTGAGGTGTGCGCGTCCCGCCGGTGCTGCGGGCAGAGCCCGGGCCCGCGAGCGGAGCGCAGCGACACGGAGGCCGCCGAGCTGCCGGTGCGCGGGCGCGTCTCGCTACGGGGACAAAGGAGCGGGCAGGGGAGCACCGAGCGCGGCCCCGCCGCCGGAGGAGGCCGCGGGCCCGGGCGGGGCGCTCGGCGCCTTGCGGGCCGCGCTCGGATCCCCGCGGCCGCGCGGCGCCCTCGGCCCAACACTTGTTGCCGCGAACGGCGTCGTGGGCGCGGCCCGGCCGGTGCGGGCCGAGGGGCTGCGGGAAGGCCCGCGGCGGGGGGCGCTGCCCGGCCCCTCCCGGCCGTTACACAAGCGGCGGCCGCGCCTCCCCCCCCACCCTCCGTCGCGGTGACGCCCAGCGGCGGGCGGCGCAACCGCCACGGCGGCCTCCACTCGGGCCGAGCCGCCGTCTGCTCCCCGGGATCTCCGGGCGGGCGGGCGGCGGGGTCAGGCGTGTGCCGCCTCGCCGCCGCCGGGCCCGAGCGGAGCTCACGGGCTCGGCTGGGGTCGCCGAGGCTGTGGTCCGGGCCGAGAGGCCGCGGGACCCGGGGCCGTTCCCCGGTGATCAGATGGCCTGTAAATATCCAGCGAGGAAACGGGGCTGCGGGAAGCGGGCGCTCGTCCTTTTAGTACGTGGTCGGAATGAGCTGCGGGCCGGTATCGGCAGCAGCTAACGGTGCTCCCCGTCCGATCCGATGGGAGTAGTGGCCTTTTGTTTATACGGGGCTCCATCGCTTTGCACCCGCTAGGCTCTTGTGCCCTGCTGGGAGGACGGCAGCGAGCGAAGGGCCGAGAGCCGGACATCTTCCCCGAAGAAAAAAGTTAGGAGCCGGAGTTTTGTTTGCGTGCAGTGAGGAGGGCCGGATTGCGGTGCCGTGTGAACGGCCGGGATCCGGGCTGCGGGGCTGAAGGACTGCCTCTCCCAGCCCGGGTCCCAGCGGCGTTCGGCTCCCTAACTCCCACTGAGGAAGCACCGAACGCGGCAGTGCGTTTCAGGCTGCGGTGTTTATACACTGAGCTCCCGTAAAGGGGTTGTATCGATTTCATTTTCAGCACTCAGAACGTTGCTCCTAGATGCTATACAACTGTCATACTGCGCTCAGGTCTTCTGGACAGCGATCTCTGAAACGCAGGAACTCTTGTAAAGCAAAACCTCTGTTTGAGATGAAATATTTAACGTTTAAAATTACAGTTACTAAATCTTATTAGATTTGCATGTAGTATCCTTTGATAGTACCAAAAAAAGAGAGTTGCAAGTAGCAACAAAATTTAAATTCACCCTGGTGTGGAAATGGTGACACAATTATAAAACTAGCACGAGTGGTCTGTGAGGCAGATGGTTTCTGTCTGAATCACAACCTTTCCGTGCCACTGGTCCCTTCTGAGGCTTCATTGTCCCATACTGGTAGCGTCTCTCAGAGGGATTGCTCCATGTGCCTCCAGCATGCTGTGGCTCCTTCTTGCTGACAAAACTCAGTGTGGTTAGCATGAGTGTGCAGTGAGCCCTTTGGCACAGTATTGCTGCACTGAGACCTGTGCCATGTGTTTGGCTAGTTGCAAGCACAGCCAGGTAACCTTGTGGAGGGGAGCTGGGCATTGCATCTAGGAGACAGAGGTGTTCGGGGTCATGTTGACGCGTGTATCTTGGTGGTATCTCTGTCAGAATATGGCAAGCCAGTCTCCTGGGAAAGGCTGCTAGTCAGTGACCATGCTACATAGAAAGGGGTAGCAGGGAGGTTTGAGAAGTAAAATAATGCTGTTAGATAGGGGGCTAAGGACCCAAATCTCCACTTTACCGAGGCCTACAATTGTGCGTGGTGTCAGAAAAGCAGGCGTAATGCGTTAGAGAGAATGATGCAGAAAAAGGCTGCTAAGATTCAAGAGGAACTGGAAATATATTTGGAATAGGAGGAGTCTGCATTAGAAAAATGGATTTATCTAAATAAATCCCTCGTGCCTTAAGCTGAAGTATACATTTATGTATGTGTAATATGCGTGTATAAAAATAAAAGTTTTAAACCAAAACTGTGGGGAAAGTCTGTAGGTGAAGAATGACAGGCTATAGGTGAAGAATGCAAAGTTTGCCATGAGATAACCTCTCACTGGAGGGGGCCATCCTTGTAGCATTAAAACTGCTGTTAATACATCTCCATGATACAGTACTTGGAGTATCAGAAACGGTGGAAGCTCAGATACTGTAGTGACAGAGACTGCAGCTGGCCTAGGGAGGATGGGGTAGTTTCTATGTGCATGAAGTGGGTGGTGGTTGTTAAGGACCGCCTGTGACAGGAAGTTGCACAGGATCTTGTGAATTGGTGCTCCAGGCCTAAATAGGAAGAGGATAGATTAAGGCCGCGTGGTTCAAGGTGTTGACTGGCTGTCATACATTGAGGTGGAGCAGAGAACCGTTGTTGCAGGAGCAGTAAAGCCAGGGGCTACTTTGGTGGTGTTAATTCTCCATAGTAAATCTTCATGAAAGAAGAAAAAATTTCATGAGTACAAGGGCGAGAGGCAGTCAAAAGTGTAAAATGCTTGCAGGTGGCATGTAATTCTTCAAAGGCAGTGTAACAAAGGCTCAAAGCAGTTGCATGGCATCTGCCAGAAATACAGAAAGAGCTGAAGAAGCTGGAAAGCAGAAGTAAAAAGACATCTTTCAGCAAGTTAAAGTCTTGTGCTCAGTGAGAAGGATGGAAAAGAATGTAAAATCTGTGTTAAACATAATAAGGTAGGCCAAACAGAGTCATGGAACAAGTTTCTAGAAGCATGAAAACAAACAATAAATCCTCTTTGAAGTGCATCAGAAGCAGGAAGCGTGCTGATGAATGATCCATGTGCAGAAGGAGTGCTCGAGGAAGATAAAGTTGCAACAGAAGACTGAAACAAGGTCTTTGAGTCATGTGCACTAGGAAGAGTTTTGGGAGATTCTTTTGTTGGAGGCTTTTTACTTTTTTTAAGGAGTAAGCGTGTTTGGGGTTTGCTCGCAAGTAATGTGACTGTATAAGGAGGTATCAGAACAAATTGCTGGAAATGAAGGATGAGGTGGAGGAGGTGATACTTAAAATGTGAAATTGCTACTGCATTCCCCAATGTGTGTCACTTGTTGCTTAGAGCTGGCCTTGGTGTTCCAGGAATAGAAGGTGACAAATTTCTTGTCAGTTGTTCAAGTTTTCTGCGGAGACGGGGAACTGTAGGGCAGTTGGTTCTGAGTTTGTTTGCCAGTAGTTAGTGAATGGGATTAGTGAACGGGAGGTATAAATGTGATATCTTGACAAAGAATAGGCCTGGCTTTTGTTGAGGAGACCTTGTGCGTCACCAGTCTTGTGGGGTTTGTAAAGGTGTTGTTGAGCTGTTGTTGCGGTCTCCTTGATACTGCCCTTCCCCGAGCAGGGCTGGGCTCAGCATGGGATCAGGTTGCTCTGGGCATGGCCATGGCCAGCCCTGCTGGATGGAAGGAGGGTGCTGGTTGTCCCTGCCGATCAGCGGGTGCAGGAGGGGCTGGGTGGTGGTGCAGCAAGTTTGCTCGTTGGATTCACCCGTTCCTCCCTGTAGTCAAACTCCAAAGGCCGAACTGTAAAGCCTGCAGAAGGATCTTGTTATGTTGAAAGCCCAGCTGTAAGGCTGCAAATAAAATTCAGTACATACCAATGAAATGTAATGCATATGGAAGGCAGTGTAATCTTAACTTTATACACAAAAGGAAAGCTTGAACTGACTGTTTTTACTAGGGAAAAGATCATAGGATGTAGGTAATCCTATGAAAAAACAAGCTCTGTGCCCTGCAGTGACTCAGGAAGCAGAAGGCAGGTTTGGAATTATTAGGAAGGAGTAAAACATGGAAAAGTAAGCATCATCATGCTACCATAAACCCCTATTGCTCCCCTCTCCTGAGCAGCATTAACAATTTCTGTTTCCCCGTCTCAGAAAGGGTGCAGTGAAACCAGCAGAGCTGCAGAGAAAGGCATTGAGGACCATCAGGTGGATAGAACAGCTTTTGTGAAAGTCTGGGCGCCTTGCCTTGGCCAGGAGATGGCTGAGGAGGATATGGGAATGTTCCTTGAAATCATCAGTGTAATGAGAAGAATGAACAGGCAGCGGGGAGCAGGTAAGCGCAGCCCACAGGAAACAATCGAGAGGCACTCAGTACAGGAGGAGGTGTTTGTGGGGCAGCCCATAAATGCGGTGCTCCCTGCCCCAGCGTGCTGTGGGTGCCAGGAGTTTAAGCAGGTTCACAAGCGATGAGGCAGCCTGTGGGAGAGAAACTTGCCGTGCAGCTTAGTCAAACTTGGAGCACTGAATATCCACAACCTACAGCAGGTACCGATCAAGAATTCTTTCTGAGAACTAACTGCAGGTAGAGATTTTCTCCATGAGGATAAGCATAAGCCTAAGAAGTGATCCGTTTGTAGGTTACCTAGAGAAGCGAGACTGTGCACTGACCTCTGCAGCATGAATCTTGTGCCTTAGCTTTTTGGGGAACTTCAGAAAAAAGAACATACGTTTCCAAGATGCCCCTGTTCAGCCTATGCTAGTTACACCTGGACTTGTTAACCGGACGCAGGCTAAATGCATCATGCATGCACCTAATGCTGCATAGGAGTGGTGTTCCAGCGAAATTCTTTGGGGGTTTCAAGGATTAGAATCTCCATTTGTGGACTTCCAGTGCAGGAATCTGTTTGTAGATACAGAAGGAGAACTAATCACAACGTTACTTGTTTTGTGGAACTCTTACTTATCTCTGTGATTTGTTAAAGATTGACCTTTTAGAACTCAGTTCTTCAAAGGCCTTCAGTAATTGTTATATTGAGGATATAAGCCATAAGGTAGTGTTTACAGAAGTTTTATTATAGCTTGTGCTGC